TGTCAGTAATTAAATGTTTGCATGTCTACGTCCGACGTTGTTATCAGTGCACCTGTATCCAAGATTCCCCTAAGTTATGAGAACTCTCTCAGAAGTTTCTACCTGTTAAATTTTCACTTACAATTCTATCATCTTTAGAATTGCTCCTTTGACCCCATCTACATTCCTCTACCTCCTTTCCACTGGGTAAGAAACATCTGTCAACACATATGTCATTGGCTTATTGTTGTTTCTAATATTCTAATCTCTTCCAATCTATTCTTCACACAACCCATGGAGAATATTTTAAAAATAAAAGCACTAACCACAATTTAAAAATCTCTGTAAAGGCACTTAAAATCTAATTTAAGAGGATAGCATTTTGGCGTAGCAGGTAAAGCCACAGTCTTTGATACTGGCATCCCATATAAGCGCTGGTTCATGTCCCAGCTGCTCCATTTCTGAACCAGTTCCCTGTTACTGACCTGAGAAAGCAGCAGAAGATGGCCTAAGTGTTTGGACCCCTACCACCCATGTGGGAAACCTGGATGAATATCCTCACTCCTGGTTTTGGCCTGGCACAGCCTCAGCCAATGTGGCCATTTGGGGAATGAACCAGCAGATAGATCTGTCTCTGTCTCTCCCTCTCTCTCTATAACTCTGACTTACAAATAAATAAATAAATCTTTTTAAAAATACAAATATCAAGACTGATAACAACAGGTGCTTGTATGATATAGCTTAACTCTGACTCTTGATTTTGCTTCTACCATTCTGTCCTTCCATCACTGTATTTCTAAAACTTTGGCTATCTTTCCTTCCTAATTTTAGAAACATTGTTCTAGTTTACCAAATGGAAGTAAATGGTGAAAGTGCATGCAACGTGAACTCTAAATCCTGCTGTCAAGATTTGCAAAAAATGTACCTTCACAGAGGCCAGCACTGTGGCACAGCGGGTTAAAGCCCTAGCCTGCAGTGTCGGCATCCCATATAGGCACCAGTTTGAGTCCCGGCTGCTCCACTTCCAATCCAGCTCTCTGCTATGGCCTGGGAAAGCAGTAAAGACGGCCCAGCTCCTTCAGCCCCTGCACCCTCATGGGAGACCCAGAAGAAGCTCTTGGCTCCTGGCTTTGGATCAGCTCAGCTCTGGCTGTTCCAGCAGAATGGAAGCCCCCCCCCCCCCTCTGGCTCTACCTCTTTCTGTAACTGTGTCTTTCAGATAAATAAAATAAATATTTTTTAAATGATATGCTTACCATCGTCTCCTAACAGTCCAGATATGTTGGGCTTGAATTTAACAATAAAATAATAAAAACAGGTACAAAAAGGAATTTCTTCTGGTTTCTTCATGAAGTCTGCTTAAAATTAAAATTACTTAGCGATAGTTGCCAAAAAAAAAAAAACAAACAAACAAACAAAAAAAAAGTACAGCTTCCCAAAGCGTGAAGCTAGAGAACATCAGGACCTGCTCTGTGCTTGAAAACAGGTTACTTCTAAGCCTCAATCACTGTGGTCTGGAAGCTAGCGTAAGATAGAAATTGCCTACAATAGGTTACAGGACTGGCCGGCAGAAGATAAGATCAAGAAAATCAGAGTTTCCCTCTCAGTAATCACTTACACCATACAGTATTTTCACAAAGCTCCTTCTACTTACTTCTTACTGCAACTCTGTGGTATAGGTATTATTGCTCTGATTTTGCAGATGATAAAAATAAGATCCTGAAAACTTAAATGGATTGATCAGAGTCATCCCTGCTGCTGACAACTTTGCATTTAGTTCTTCATATATGATATCCAGTGCTTCTCCCATATCCCCAGCAAGTAATAGCTACCAAAATTCATAAGTTCCTAAGGAAATTGTGAAACCTACCTTTCCTCACACAGATAACATTTCTCAGGTCAGATCAAGTTCAATGCTTCTGTCAAAGCTATAACATTGATATGAGTGTGAGTGGTAGACAGCATGGTACCTTATAACTAATACTGGATGCACTTTGGAGCATCTCCAGCCCAGAAGACTCATTGCCAGAACTGAAATACGGTCATGAATAAATTAATGTTATTCCTGAGCCTTTCAAGCAAATGTAATTTTCGTTTCATTCTGTTAAAACCTTTTATTCTTTGACTCTCATGGCTCTGTTCTAGCCTGGCTTGAGACCACTTAATACAAAATAAAACTAAAACACATGCACTTTATTCTGATGTCACACTTTTTATTCCAATTTATTTTTTAGAAGTCAGATGTAACCTCTGGTAAGCGCTCTGCTATAGAGTGGCTATCTTGGTTTACAGTCACTTTCAACAGGGAGAAACCTTAAGACCAAATTACAAAGGACATGATAATAATAGAAACCACAACAGGTATGACCCTATGACTTTGGTCAAGAATATGTGAGCAGGAGGATGTCAGATGCTTGAAAATTTCAAGAAAGAAAGAAAGGGGGGGTAGGGAGAGAAGGGAAGTGGGAAAAAGTATGAGGGAGGAAGGAAATATTGTTATATTCTTAGAATTGTATCTATGATCTACATTGAATATGTACTCATTGTATTACTAGCACACTAACATAAAAAAAATTTAAAAGCTTCGAAAGCCAGTAACCAATTTGTTTGTCTCTTCCCTGCCTAATTCTAGAAACATAAGTCAATACATAGCTGGGATGGCTGAGTGGCTATGATGGGCAGAGTCCCTGATGACCTATTTTATACCTGTAGTATGAACCGAAAAATAAACTATTACTAGGTCATGGCATAGATATTTTTAGATTGCTTATGATTACAGTATAACTGAGTTTATCCTGAGTGATACAATGAGGAAAGGATGAACTGTTCAGTAAATTACTGTGTCAATTTAGTGTTGAAAGAAAAATACGAGTGATCCTTATTCCACATCATACATAAAAAACAATTCTATATTCCATATGAATAAAAATACACTAAAGACTTTAAAACTATTAAAGAAAACATAGAAAATATATTTACTCGAAAATGGATTTATATATTAAGCCAAATACAAAAAGACTTAACCATAAAAATTGATAAATTTGGTGTTAAAATTAATGTTGTAGATATATAATGCCAAAATCCTGATGTATAGAAGAAGAAAATTATAACTTGGAATTCATCCAAGTTAAGAACTTCTACCTCATGAAAGAGAATGAAACAGAATTAGAGAAAATATTTGTGAATCACATACCTGATAAATGATTTGTATCCATATATAAAGAATTCTCTAAACTCGATTACGAGACAACAAAACCATCCAATTTTTAATGTCGAAATTAAACAAATTCTTCACCAAATAAGATACCTGGATTGCAAATAATCACATGAACATATTAATAATTATTAGGGACTGATAATCAAAATCATCATACCAGTACATACCTATTTGAATGGATAAAACTAAGAAATCTGATCATACGAAGTATTGCTAAGAACATGGACCAACTGGAATTCACATACACTATCAACAGGAATGTAAATTGATATAACCACTTTGATAATATTTCAGTTCTATAAGGTGAATATATTTGCATATAGTCCAAGCATTCTAGTTCTAGGTAACTACTCGAGAAAAATAAAAGCACATGTCTATGCAAGCATCTGTATGTACATGTTAACAGCAACTTTGTAGTTGGCAAATACTGTAAATAATACAAATGCATCAACAAATGTATGAACAAAAAAACTGAAGTATTGCTACAATAGAACATGACTGAGTAATAAAAAGAGATGAACTTTAGTAAATTCACCAGTGTGAATGAATCTCAAAATAATTATGCTTAAATAAAGAAAGCAGAATAATCGCCACCAAAACAAAGAATACTTGATGAATGACTGCACTTACATAAATTTCATAAAGTGCCAACAAATCTACGATGACAGAAAGTAGATCCATGACTCCCTGGAAGTGGAAGAGTGAACATGAGGGGACAGAGGAAACACTGTGGCTGATTGTCTTGATTATGGCAATGTTTCAGAGGTATTTTTAAGTCAAAACTTACATTATACACTTTAAATATGCATTGTTTGTTTTATCTAGTTTTACTGAAATGGATTGCATTCTTTTTTGTGTGTATTAAGATTTTTTTTTTTTTTTGAAAGGCAGAGTGACAGAGAGAGCGGTAGAGATAGAGATAGAGAGTCCTTCAATCTGCTGGTTCATTCCCCAAATAATCACAGGGGAGCAGGCTGAAGCCAGAAGCTGGTGACGCTATTCAGGTCTCCCACATAGATGGCAAGGGCTCAAGAATTTGGGCCATTTTTCACTGCTTCCTCAGGCAGGGAAGCTGCAGCTGGCTTAAAAGTAGAAAGGGCACTCAGATATATGAGATGCTAGTGTCACCAGAGGTGGCTTAACCACAATACCAGCCACAAAATACACTGTTGTCTTGTATTTCAATTATACTTTCAAAAGTCAACTGGTGTGAAAATAAAAATAAGTAAACACACACATACACATATATAATAAAACCTGTGCTTTCTTAAAAACTACCAGAAAGAAAACAAATTTTCTAAAAAGGAAATAACAATGAAATTAACTGCAAATCTCTCTTGAGCAACAATAGGTACAAAAAGACAGTGAAGTAATATATCTAAAATAATGAGGAAAAATAATCAGGAGCCTAGAATTTACACCTCAATAAACTATTATGCAAGAGTCAGGGTAATATATACACTAGGTATTTCTAAGATAAGAATACTAAGAGTATTTATTATCCACAAACTATCACTGAAAATACACTTGACCAAAAACAAAACAAAACAAAACAAAACAAAACAAAACACCTAGAAGAAAAGAATGGGGTTGAAAAAAGCACTGCTACCAAAGTAATTAGAAAAACAGATTGTTAAATCCGAATGTGCACTGACTATAAAAATCAATATTACCGGCCGGCGCTGCGGCTCACTAGGCTAATCCTCCGCCTTGCGGCGCCAGCACACCGGGTTCTAGTCCCGGTTGGGACACCGGGTTCTAGTCCCGGTCGGGGCACCGGATTCTGTCCCAGTTGCCCCTCTTCCAGGCCAGCTCTCTGCTGTGGCCAGGGAGTGCAGTGGAGGGTGGTCCAAGTCCTTGGGCCCTGCACCCCATGGGAGACCAGGAGAAGTACCTGGCTCCTGCCATCAGATCAGCGCGGTGTGCTGGCTGCAGTGTGCCGGCCGTGGCGGCCATTGGAGGGTGAACCAACGGCAAAGGAAGACCTCTCTTTCTGTCTCTCTCTCTCACTGTCCACTCTGCCTGTCAAAAAAAAAATCAATATTACCAACAATAATTTCAGAGACAACAAAAATAAAATAAATTTGTTATAAAGAAGTTGTAAATAAAACTCTAAATAACACTAAAAAGAAACCTAAGTAGAGGATGATTTTTGGCAGTTAAAAGCATGCTAAAGTTTCTTGTTTAGAGGATGAGAAAATTGATTTAATTCTCATATATAAAATATGAGATTAAAACTAAGAATATTAACCTAAAAGAAAAGAAGTAGATATGAAAGTACCAAACCAGGAAAGAAGTAAGAGAGAATCAAAATAAATGCTGGTCATAAACAACAAGTGAACAGCTAACATTTCACTGAAAAGGGAAAATATGAAGCCTTTATCTATATATAGAAAACCCTCAAAGACTTCACTACAAAACTGCTAGAACTAATGAACAAACCCAGCAAAGCTTCAGGATTTGAAGTTGACATGCAAAAATCAGCAATGTTTTTATACACTAATAGTAAATTATTTGAAAAGGAAATGACAAAATGGTGTGTGTATTTGACACAGTAGTTAAGTTGCTGCTTGGATGCCCACATTCCCTATCAAAGTACCTGGCTCAAGTCCTAGGTGCTCTGCTTCCAAGGCAGCTACCTGCTAATACATACCCTGGGAAGCAGTTAAGTAATCGCTCAGGTACTTGGGTCCCTGTTACCAACATGGGAGACTCAGATTGAGTTCCAAGCTTTTGCCAGATATAACTCCAGCTCTTGTGGGTATCTGTGGAGTAAACAAACTCTTAATTGCAACTATAAAATAAACAACATTCATATTAACAAAAATACTAATTAATATAAATGGAAAATTGAAAACTTTTTGGGAGGCCATTTCAATTGTATTCATCCTTTTTGTGGCATTCCCTGCTTATAAACTTATGAAATTTTAATAGTAACTAAAATTCATTGAAAGCTTACTTTGAGCCAGGCATTGTTCTAAGATCTTACTATAAAGACAATTTAATAGATGAGGAAAATGAGCCACAAAAGAGATGAATAAATTCCCCAGGGTCATTCAGCTAAGAAACAGTGCAATCTACGCTGACACTAGATCTTCCAGCACTAACAGTACTAGTTGGCCAGCACTCTGGCTCACTTGGTTAATCCTCTGCCTACGGTGCCGGCATCCCATATGGGCACTGGGTTCTAGTCTTGGTTGCTCCTCTTCCAGTCCAGCTCTCTGCTGTGGCCCAGAAGGGCAGTGGAGGATGGCCCAAGTGCTTGGGCCCCTGTACCCGCATGGGAGACCAGGAGGAAGCACCTGGCTTCTGGCTTCGGATCAGCACAGTGCTGGCCATAGCAGCCATTTGGGGAGTGAACCAGCGGAGAGAAGACCTTTCTCTCTGTCTCTCTCTCTCACTGTCTATAACTCTACCTGTCAAATAAAAAAAAAAAAGAGTATTAGTTAATGACTACAGTGAAAGCTGCAACGGCAGGAAATATCTAGCTTGCAGAGTTTCTTCTGTACATATTTAGATCATTCATAGAGGAGTACTTTGTGGAGTGCCATATGTCTTTCCTTGTATAAATAAATCCCATAAAGGATTTCTGAAAATGGCAAAAATCTAAATTATCTTTTTCTTTTTGAAGATTTATTTATTTATTTGGAAGATAGAGTTAGAGAGAGAGAGGGAGGGAGAAGAGAGAATCTTCCATCCACTGGTTCTATACCCCAATGGCTGCAAAAGCCAGGGTTGGGCTAGGACAAAACCATGAACCAGAAGCTTTATCTGAGTCTGCCACGTAGATGGCAGGGCCACAAGCAGTTAGACCATCCTCTATTGCTTTCCAAACACATTACCAGGAAGCTGATCAGAAGTGGAGCAGCCAGAACACAAATCAGTGCTGGTAAGGGATGCTGGTATCACGGGCAGCAGCTTGACTCACTGCACCACAACACCAGCCCCTAAATTATCTTTTTCAATAAACACTCTATTTCCCAACATTGAAGAATTGTTATTAGAAAATACCAGGCAACCTCTTGGGCTGTGGATCTCAAGAATTCTGGCAAGAGAGAAATATTTACTGTTCTTATAGCTAGGGGCAATTTTATAGTTAGTTTGGACATAAGATCCCTAACTCCACCTTTGCCATCTTTACTTCTTTTGATCAGCCTTATCTTCCACATGGTGACCTCCACCTATCCAGCTATGGATACCCATTGTCCTTAACTGCCTTCCTTATCACTGTGACATAAAGTACCTTTCTGATACTCTCCCAACTCTGATGAACTTCTTGAAGGATATGCCAAGTAATGTGCTAAAATGTTCTATACATTAACTCATGAGCCAGTGGTCTCTTAGAGTCTTCCTATAATGCAATCATAAAAGTGTTAGATTTAGAGCCAGAAGCTTCATCTGCCACTAGCTGTTTGACCCTGAGCATGTTATAAAACTTTTCAGACCTTCAGTTCCTCACTACTAATAAGGAGATAATACATTTAAGTTCCTAACTGCTAATAATGGAACAAAGAATTAACTAAAGAACTTTATAAATTATTGGAAAATACATGGAATTATTAACTTGTCAATCAAAAGCTCTGTAAGGAAGTCTTATGTCTGGAGATAATATCTTAACTCAAAGGACAAGTTTAGGAATGGCAGCTTATGTAGGTATTCCAGTACAGGAGTTAATTTGAGGATTTAGAGTATCTTATTGTCCTTCAAAACACACACCAAAACCATGTGTCTTATGTGCACATAATTCCATATAGTATTTAAGTGTATAATTTAAATTACACAAATCCACCACTGTGAATATTTTACCCAGAGTCAATTAGCAGATACAGAGTCTGAATTTTTGGAAGAATCGGGAGCTAGGACATTAGTTACTTTCGTTTTAGGCTACCCTAATCATCCTTCAGAAAAAATATATTATTTTATGTACATATCCTAATGGACACCAAACCTCAAAGAGGTTTCAATTACTTCAGCAAGATATCTTCATTGGGTATAAACTCCAGATAGCTGTTGGAAAATTGTTTTAAGATTCTCAATGGCTAGAAAATTAGTACTTTTTGAAACTGTAATTAACTATTGTTTTCTAAAGCATGAGTCATTGAATTAATTGATACAAGTTTGTGTTGGGAAATAGTAATAGCAAAGTATAATCTGCAAATCTTGTTCACACAAATTACCATAAATTTCAGTTCCACAAAATTACTGCACTAAGAGAAAAACAGGAATGGTCAAGGACCTCATAAAGTAAACCTAGTATCCTTAAAATAATTCCAGTGTTTTCACCTTAAAAATATATAATTATTTCTCAAAAGTGCTCAGTATTATGTAAAAAAAATTCATCCATATTACGTAACATTGGCTATATTACTTTAGAAAAAATTGTCCTTGGAGTGGGTGTTTGGTATAGTGGTTAAGATGCATCCTGGTATACCTACCTCTCATTGTGGAGTAACTGAGTTCAAGTCCTGGCTCTGCTTCTGACTCCAGCTTCCTATTAATGCAGACCATGTGAGGCAGTAGGTGGTGGCCAAAGTACTTGGCTCCCTGCCATCCATACAGGAGACCCAAATTGAGTTCTGGGCTCCTGACTTTGGCCTGGTCCAACCCCAACAATTGTGGGCATTTGGGGAATGAAAAGCAGATGGAAGACCTCTCTGTGTCTCTGTCTCTCTGCCTTTCAAGTAAAATTAAAATAAAGTTTTTGAAAAATTAAAAGTTGGTTCTTTCTTCTGAAAAAAATAAGCAACAAAATATTAAAATGTACCAATACATTAATTTCATTTGTAGGAGATTATATCTCACTGATGTTATATATTATTTAATAATTCTTATGTCACAGAATTGCTATTTATTCATAAATAATGTAGATTTGCTATAGAGAATTTGATTTATTTTAAAACTGTAGAAAATAAACTGGTTTTGTTTTGCTTTTTTGTTTTTTATTTACTTACTTATCTGAGACAGACTGAGAGCTGCTTCCACTAGCTGACTCCCCATATGTTCACAACAGGTAGGGATGGGCAGAGCTGGGCTGACACCAGCAGCTGGGAACTCAATCCACATCTTCTACATAGGTAGCAGGAACCCAATTACTTGAGCCATCACTGTAGTTTCCCAGGGTCTGCATTGATGGGAAGCTGGAGTCTGGAGCTAAATACAGGGAAAAACAAAACAAAACAAAACAAAACAACTAGGTACTACAATTTGGGTTGCAGACTTCTTAACCATTAGGCTAAATGCTTGTTTTCCCAAGTTTATTAGGCAAAAACTATTATGGAGACTTTTCACTATCCTGAGTTAAGTTTAGTTTTATTTTCTTTAAAAAAAAAAAAAGGATTTATTTGTAAGGGCATCAGAGAGAGAGAGAGAGAGGGAGGGAAGGAACGAGCAAGTAAGCAAGCGAGCCAGCAAGTGAGTAAGAGAATTTTCTATCCACAGGTTTGCTCCCCAAATGGCTGCAATAGCCAGGGCTGAGTCAGGTGCAAGTCCAGAGCAAGGAACTTTCCCATATGGGTGATAAGGGCCCAAGGACTTCGACAATCTTCCATTGCTTTCCCAGACACATTAGCAGGGAGCTGTATCAGAAGCAGAGAAGCCAAGAGTAGCCAGGACTCAAACTGCAGTCCAATATGGAATGTCAACATGGTAAGTGGTGGCTTAACTCACTGGGCCACAGTACCAGCTCCCAACTTTAGTTTTAAATGATAGTATATGCACATACAATGCATAGGTAAAGGCTCACATAATATACAAATGTATTATATAGTAAGTTTATAACAGAAAAGATATAAAACGCATTCATTTCTCAATATAACACACAAAAAAAGACTGAAAAATCTGTTTAATCCTGAATAACTTTGAGAATAAGCCTGATAAGACTGATAAAATCTTTCTGGAAGCCAAGTTCACAAAGATGGAAATTAGGAGTTATTCCTTAAAAATAAAATTATAATCAAAATGTATATTAATAAAAATCTACAGGTCTCTATGTTTTAATAACTTTCAGAGCTAACTAGATGTGATCAAAGATCTTAAATCTTTTACCTGCCACCATTACACAAATTAAAATTTCACCAAAAGCTGATAAATTCTATAGTGTATTCCATTTTATGTAAGCACAACTTATAGGGAAATGTTGCAAGGAGTTGATTTTAATGCTAATTTTGATTCCTAATGCTTATAATAAATTAGGTCAACAATTTTCCAAGTTCTGTGCTGCCACACATGATCTAAAACTGCTCTGTGGGAATAAAACACTTTAGAAGCTTGTAATTCCTACAGAGTGTTTTGATTATTTTATACAAACTAAACTCAAACAGCAAAAAAGAAAAAAATTTCACAAGGGAAATTGCTATGTGGTTTAAGGCCACATAATCTAGTTTCAACCCTTGTCTTTGCCTTGAGTTAAAGCCATACTCATTAACTTGAAACAATAAACTCAAACCTTAACATTTCTGGAGGGAATTCAATTCAAGACTTTGGCAGTATCAACAGCCAATATTACTTACAGGCTCAATGTGATCTTATACAGATATACAGAACCCATAGGTAATATAGGCAGTGCCAAAGTTTTAAATAACCAATAGATATATTGCATATCATTCCCTTATATATGTACACCATCCCTCATATTTAGTCAGCATTTTCTTACTTTTAGTTTTCTATTTTTTCAGTGGTGAATTATAAACTGTGCTTGTATCTTAAACATTTATTTAGATGATGAATATATAATAGAATTGGAATGGTATTAATTAAATACCACATTAAGAAAAGCTGGGCCATGCAAAAGTATTCTTTAAAAACAACTATTCATCAGAGGTTTATAGTTAAAAAGGATGGCAACAGCTAGGTACACAACCTCTTTTTTAAAAAAGATTTATTTATTTATTTGAGAGGCAGAGTTACAGACACACACAGAGAGAAATAGAAAGAGCTCTTCCATCCTCTGGTTCACTCTAAAAATGGCTGCAATGGCCTGGGGCTGTGCTGATCTGAAATCAGGATCCTGAAATTCCATCCTGGTCTCCAACGTGGGTGCAGAGGCCCAAGCACTTGGGCCATCTTCCACTGCTTTCCCAGGCCAATAGCAGAGAGCTGGATTGGAAGTGGAACAGCCAGGTCTTGAGCCAGCACCCATATGGGATGCCAGCACTGTACACCACTTAGTACACCACAGTGCTGGCCCGAGTACACAAACTCTTAACACCTTGGCCAGGTATGGTAGAACTGGATAAGGCATTAACACAAAGAAAACAGAAGGAAAAAAAGGATTCTTTTGGAGTTACAATTCTTGTCTTTATTCAGAACTAAAATGAGTTGAATTTAGTAGGCTGCAGGTTATTGAAAAGAGACGGAAACATTTTAAGAATGAATGGAGACCTTTCTCTCTGTCTCTCTCTCTCCCCGTCCACTCTGCCTGTCAAAAAAAAAAAAAAAAAAAAAAAAGAATGACTGGAGGAAAAAAAAAAGAAAAGACCTAAAAGGAACTGGATTAAGGATGGTAGAAATGCTACTCACTTGTTGGGCAGACCACAGCTCAGCACATTTTTCACTCAGGTGTGTTTCAAACATAAGGATATAGTTTAACTCACAAACAAGAAAATGAGACTATAAAAAGGAAAAAGAATAGTGGAACTTAGTTATTGCAAGCCATTTTTTTCAAAATTATAACTCTTCTGAACTAGCTGCATAGTTTTCTTTGTAATGGCAAGGTTGGAACTCACTAATTTATACTGAACTATCCATTATATATTTCTTGGGAAAAATTCATATATTTGATTTTTTTAAGTTAAACTACCATAACAAACTAAAGAAATGATCATAGAAAATGTTATTTCATTCAAAATAGAGAAAACCAAAATTCTGAATCAGTCTCTCTAGACTATTCCCCATATTTTACTAGATTTAAAAAAAAAAATTCCATCTCTGTATGCCAGCTCCCAATCCTAAATGCTATGAAATGTGTGCCTGAGAATATTTGTTGATTCAGTCCTTGTTCTAACTATATTGTACAGATATTTACTGACAGGTACTTAATACATTTTACTAGATACCAAGCCAGGCCCATTCTCATATGTCCCTACTTTATTATCATGTCCCTTAGTATTAAGTTACACATTGTGATATTTCAAGTCCCCAAACATACTATATAAAATACCAATATATGTACCATATGTGCAGTATAAACCCAAAGCCTTCTGCATGCTATTTCTCAACTGTATTCTGATTTACTCACACTCGTTTATTTGATGAATATTTATTGAGTGTCTATTATGTGCCAGACACTATATATCCTGGTATTGAGGAATCTAGAGTTTAGCAGGATATATTGAAAAATTTTCAATATATCGTGTTTAATGCTAGTATACAGGAAATAAAGGCTGCTATGGGAGTACATAAATTGAAACACCTAATTAATGGAGTGCAAGGTGAGGAGTAAAGATAGGCTTCCTGAAGTTTGAGATCTGAAGACTTTTCAGCTGTGCAGGAGACAGATGAAAGCTAAGATCTAACTCATCTCCTACAACCTCTCAAAACCTGATGTTACTAAAAAGGATCTTTACTTGGTCCTTTGGTTTATTTAAGTACTTTCACAGTACATTCTGCTTTAAACACTTATTGCTCGGGTCATTTTTTACCATACACTTTTTATAACTAAAATAGTTTACCACTGTCTTGCTTTTTTAAAAAAAATAGCTGAAATTTTTCAAGTGCTTACTGAAGGTTTGTTACTTATGCCATATATTTTACCTTAGTTATCTCAATAATACTGACAACTTTGTGAGAAAGGTACTATTACTATCTTCATTTCACAAATAAGACAGAGGTTTGGAAATGTTCGGTAAATTAATTAAAATCAAGAAGTTTGTAAGTTGTAGATTCATGGGTTGTTTTGGGTCTTACTTGAATCCTAAGCCTTAGTTCTTTTTCTTTTTCTTTTTTTCTTTTTTTTTTTTTTGACAGGCAGAGTGGACAGTGAGAGAGAGAGACAGAGAGAAAGGTCTTCCTTTTTGCCGTTGGTTCACCCTCCAATGGCCGCCACGGCCGGCGCACTGCAGCCAGCACACCGCGCTGATCCGATGGCAGGAGCCAGGTACTTATCTTGGTCTCCCATGGGGTGCAGGGCCCAAGGACTTGGGCCACCCTCCACTGCACTCCCTGGCCACAGCAGAGAGCTGGCCTGGAAGAGGGGCAACTGGGACAGAACCCGGCGCCCCGACCAGGACTAGAACCTGGTGTGCCCGCGCCACAAGGCAGAGGATTAGCCTATTCAGCTGCGGGGCCGGCCCTAAGCCTTAATTCTTGACCACCACACTCTACTATCTACTTTCCTTTTGGTCCTTCAAAGTCCATATTAATAACACTTCTACCATGCACTCCTTTATACAGAAATCAAGATGAATGCCACCATGCACAAAATAAAAGATTTTCTGAACAAAATATTGTTAAAAAGTTAGGCATAGGCCACCATTACCCTAATACCAAAATCAAACAAAGATATTACAAAAAAGGCAGACCAACATTTCTCAATAGATGCAAAAAATCTCAACAGAATGTTAACTATTTAAATTCACCAATGTATAAAAATAATCATATACTGCAACAAGCAGTGTGTAATCCTGGCATACAAGGTTGATTCAGCATTTGAAAACCAGTTACTATAATCCATTGTCTCTACAGTTAAAGGGGAAAAAATCATATAATCATATCAATAGAACCAGAAAAAACACTTAAGAAATCCTAACACCTACTTATGACAAAAACGCTCAAAAAAACTAGAAACAGAGGACAACAGTCTCAACATTATAATGACATCAACAAGAATTCCATAACAGCACACTCAGTAGTGAGAAACTTGTAACTTTCCCACTAGAATCAGGAAAAAGCTGAACATGGTTCTTTTACCACTTTTACCACATTTCACTATAAGTTCTAGTTAATACCATTGGAAAAAGAGATGTAAAGATGTAGACTTTCTGGAAAGGAAGAAATAATACTGTATTTTTTCACAGAAGACATGATTTTCTAGGTAGAATGTGCCTAAGAATCAACAGAAACAGAAAATTTAAAAACTCTCTTGGAACTAATAAGCAATTGCAGTAGCATGGCAGGATGCAAGATTAACATACAAAAGTCAATCATTTTCCTATATACCCAAAATGAACATTCAAAATTTTACATTGAAAACATGATACCATTTACATTAACACCCATTAAATCTCACAGAAGAAATACAAGATTTATATGAGGAAAACTATAAATCTCTGATTATAAAAATAAAAAAGAACTAAATAAATGGGGAGTTACTCCATTTTCATGAATAGAGAGACTCAATATTGTCAAGACATCAGTTCCTCACAACTTGTTCTTCATATTAAACACAATTGCAATCAAAATATCAATAAGTTCATGGGTGAATAGTAGCAAATCAATGTTAAAATTTATAAGGAAAGAAAAAATACCAAGAATAGTCAACATAATTTTGAAGAAGAACAAAGTCAGAGGACTGACAATATCCAACTTCAAGACTTACTATTAAAGCTATATATTTAATTCCTTGTGGTATTGGCAAAAGCCTATGAAAGATGCTAATATCATATTCCATTATAAAATTATAAATTGAAAAAATGAGATACCATTTTATATTTAAAAGAATGCACAAAATCCCAAATACTAACAATGCCAAATGTTAAAAAGAATGTGAAGCAACAGGAATCCTCATTCATTGCTAGTTTGACTGCACAAACTCTAGAAAACAGTTTAATATTTTCTTTCAAAACTGAACATACAGCTTTATCATTTGATTCAATAATCATACTCCTTTATGCACACACAAAAACTTGCACACATATGTTTACAGGTTTATTTACAATTGCCAAAATTAAAAAGGATCAAAAAACCTTTAGTAGGTGAATGGATAAACAAAATGTGGACTATTCACACAATGGAATACTATTTAATTCTAAAAAGAAATGAGCTATCAAGCCATAAAAAGACTTAAAAATACACATAATAAGTGAAATAAGCCAAGCTGAGAAGACTGTTTTTAAAAAAGAATTATTTATTTATCTATTTGAAAGGCAGAGTACAGAAAGGCAGAGGTACAAAGAGAGATTGATCTTCCATCTGCTGGCTTACTCCTCAAATGGCCACAAAGTTCAGGAGTGGGCCTGGCTGAAGCCAGGAGCCAGGAGCTTCTTCCAGGTCTCCCATGTGGGTGCAAGGTCTCAGGCACATGGGCCATCCTCTGTTGCTTTCCCAGACACATTAGCAGGGTGCTGGATCAGAAGTGGAGCAGCTGGGATTTGAACTGATGCCTATATGGGATGCCAGCACTGCAAGCGGCAGATTTACCTGCCATGCCATAGTGCAAGCCCCCTGAGATGACTATTTACTGTATAATTCCAATTACATGACATTGTGAAAATGTAAAACTACAAAGACAGTAAAATATTAAAGGTTTCCAGGGATTCTGAGAGTGGAGGAGATGGACGAATAGGGGGAACAAAGAGGATTTTTAGGGCGTGAAACATTCTTTCTGATATAATGTTGAATAAATATTATTATATACTGTCTAATCCTGCAACATATACAATGCCAAAAATGTCATAATGTAAACTATGAACTTTGGATAATCATGATTGATTTTAACAAATGTAAACTATGAACTTTGAATAATAGTGATTGACTGTAACAAATGTGTTTCTCTAGTACAGGCTGTTGATAGTGTGGGGGCAGAGTATGTACAGGAACTCTTCATCTTCTGCTCAGTTTTGCTGTGGGCTGAAAACAGTTCTAAAATGTTGAAAATAGTTTTAGAAAGACAAAAACTCCTCAAGACAAACAGAATAGAAAGGCAAAATTTTGGAGGATTAAAAAAGTTAATTGAATGGCAAATGAGTCACCAGGTTCAACAAGTTCAAATCCAACAACCCAGAGAGGGAGATGCCAATGTAAAACAATCATATTTGTGTTGTTAAACCCCAGAAGGGTTCAGAAGTTGTAGGTACCAGGAACAACATAGGATGAGTACAAAAAGACTGGCTTTTGAGTCTAAAAAGGAAACATTTAAAATCTGAATACCTTCCACAAGCCTATACTGCCACTCATCTTCTCCTCTTAACCACCGGAGGAAAACACGACATTGCTACAGGCAGAGATTGACTCAGAGAGGCTCTGTTCTTGGATGGTAAGAGGAAGATATGTGATTCAGCAGATAGAAAATCTGAAACAAAAGAGAGAAAAATTGGGCGATCGCTGTGGCATAGATAGGAAGCCCCACCTGCGGTGCTGGCATCCCATGTGGACGCTGCTTGATGAACTGGCTGCTCCATTTCGGATTCAGCTCTCTGCTATGACCTGGGAAAGCAGTGGAAGATGGTCCAAGTCCTTGGGCCCCTACACCCACATGGGAGACCTAGAAGAAGCTCCTGGTTCCTGGCTTCAGATCCGCTCAGCTCTGGCAGTTGGGCCAGTTGGGGAGTGAACCAGCGGATGGAAGACCTCTCTCTCTCTCACTCTGCCCCTCCTTCTCTCTATATATTAACTCTGACTTTTAAGTAAAAAAAAATCTTTCAGAGAGAGAAAGAGAAAGAGAGAGAGAGAGAGAGAGAGAGATAAATACCTAGGGAACCATGGAGAAAGATTCTAACAGAATTATGATATGGTGAATTTAGAAATCAAACTTTTATATTGGATTGGAAAGATGAAGAATCCAGGAGGGAAGTTTCTAAGGGAAAAAAATCAATTTAACTTATCAATTATCTATAAATCTTGACAGTACTAAGAGGAGCTTTAGAGTTTAAACAGAAAGCTAGAGGCAAAAACGCACATGTAAGACAGTTAACTGGGGCTGGCGCTGTGGCTCACTTGGTTAATCCTCCGCCTATGGCGCCGGCATCCCATATGGGAGCCAGGTGCTAGTCCTGGTTGCTCCTCTTCCAGTCCAGCTCTCTGCTGTGGCCCAGGAACGCAGTGGAGGGTGGCCCAAGTGCTTGGGCTCCTGCACCCGCATGGGAGACCAGGAGGAGGCACCTGGCTCCTGGCTTCGGATTGGCTTAGCGTGGGCCATGGTAGCCATTTGGGGACTGAACCAATGGAAGGAAGACCTTTCTTTCTGTCTCTGTCTCTGTCTCTGTCTCTCTCTCACTGTCTATAACTGTCAAAACAAAAAAGACAGTTAGCTAAAAAAAATATGTAGATCAAGATAAAAAGAGATTATTTGAGATGCAAAGACAGAGTGAGTGGGGAAAAGAGATCCCATCTACTGGTTCACTGCCCAGATGCCCACAACAGCCAGAGGAGAAGCAGTGAGCCAGGAACATAATCTAGATATTTCAAGGCCAGAAGACACAGGCAGGAATGTAGCTACTTGAGCTGTCACTGCTGCCTCTTAAGATCTGCATTAGCAGGAAGCTGGAATTAGGAGCTGAACCCAAGGACCAAACCAAGATACTCCAATGTGGGATATGGGTATCTTCATTAGTAAATTACCTGCTAGGCCAAATGTCTGTTCCATGTTAACAGACTATTAAATGTGGATCAACCATGACCAAATTTATATATTCTTTTTTTAAAGATTTATTTATTTGAAAGGCAGTATTACAGAGAGGCAGAGGCAAAAGAGAGAGAGAGAGAAAAAAAGAGAGAGAGTGAGAGTGAGAGAGAGTCTTCCATCCACTGGTTCACTCCTCAGTTGGCCGAAACAGCCGGAGCTAGTCTGATCCGAAGCCAGGAGCCAGGAGCATCTTCTGGGTCTTCCATGCGGGTGCGGGGACCCAAAGACTTGGGCCATCTTCCACTGCTTTCCCAGGTCATAGCAGAGAACTGGATGGGAAGTGGAGCACCCGGGACTTGAACCAGTGCCCATATGGGATGTTGGCACTGCAGGCAGCTGTACCTGCTATGCCATAGCGCTGGCCCCTATAAATTCTTAATAATATAAACACTAAATTATTTAACCAAAATATGAAACAAAACAAAATTAGGAGAATGAAGAAATTGTGTTTAGTCAGAAGCTTAAGAAAGCTAAAGGGACAGGTATTTTAATCTAATGGTTGAGATGTCCACATTTCACATGGGAGTACCTGAGTTCATGTCCTGGCTATGGCTCCAAATTCCAGCTTCCTGCTAATGCAGTCCCTGGAAGGCAGTGGGTGATGGATCAAGTAATAGGGTCTCTGCCTCCCATGTAGAAAACCTGGATTAAGTTTCCAGCTACTGGCTTCAACATGATCAAGCAGCATTTGGGAGCGAATAAGCAGATGGAAACGGACTCACTCTTTTTATCTGTCTCTCAAAAATTAACAGTGCAGCTGTTTTTTTTTTTTTTTTTTGATAAGTAGTTTTGAATATGATTTCTCAAAAAGCAGGTCTTCAGGGGGCCGGCATTGTGACACAGCAGTTTAAGTCACCACCTGCACTGTGGGCATTCCATATGGGCGCTGATTCATGTCCCAGCTGCTCCACTTCAGATCCAGCTCCCTGTTAATGCACCTAGGAAAAAAGCAGTGGAGGATGACCCAAGTATTTGGGCCCCTACACCCACACAGGATATCTGAAAGAAGTTCCTGCCTCCTGCCTTCAGCCTGGCCCATCCCTGGCTGTTGCAGACATTTGGGAAGTGAACCAGTGGATAGAAGATCTCTTTCTCTCCCTCCTCAATCTCCTCTATAATATGCCTTTCAAATAAATAAATATTTTTTTAAAAAATGAGGTCTTCAACTATAAAATACAAAAAGCAGCAAAAAGGATTTAGAAATAGTTGCCCATTAGGAGTAGGACTTGGTAGAAATTTGGATTCAAGTGATACTGCAGAAGGGACTGTTCTTTCTTCATCATAAGTCAGGTGGCCATATAATTCTACTTTTCTCAGGAGTGCCCTGTTTTATCCTTGCTTTCCTACAAGCCTATTCAGTTAGCATCTCCCTTTCATTCTCAGAAGTACATAACAAATTAAATGTCAACCAAATTATGAGATTTGTAGAACTATTTTTTTCTAAATTATGTGTATTTATTACTGTATTAAAGTCTTTTTAAAGTGGGATATGAATTCAGAATAACTTGGTTGACTTATACCTTGTACTACTCTGAGTTTGGGCAAATTTTTTAACATTTCTGTACTTTTTTTTCACCTACAAAATGATGAATATAACAGTTTCTATCTCATAGGTTTACTGTGAGGATTAATAGATCATTTCCACAATGTTATGAACTTGATAGATGCTCAGTGCATATGACTTATTATTGTATTAAGTGCCCATGAAATTATAGTTGATTTAGAATCGATCATTCTCCTCAGATTTTCATCTAAGACTTTAATGTAAAAATTGTAAATTGTTGACAAGTTCAAAATTATATTCCTTTTTTCTTAAACTTATGGAACTTATTAAATAGATTTTCTGCATGATTATTGAAAGAAAATGCCAAATTTGGAATTTTTATTGTAAAGCAAATACCCAGTAAAATAAGGCCATTTAGGCCGGCGCCGCCGCTCACTAGGCTAATACTCCGCCTTGTGGCGTCGGCACACCGGGTTCTAGTCCCGGTCGGGGCACCGGATTCTGTCCCTGTTGCCCCTCTTCCAGGCCAGCTCTCTGCTGTGGCCAGGGAGTGCAGTGGAGGATGGCCCAAGTGCTTGGGCCCTGCACCCCATGGGAGACCAGGAGAAGTACCTGGCTCCTGCCATCGGATCAGCGCGGTGCGCCGGCTGCAGCGCACTGGCCGCGGCGGCCATTGGAGGGTGAACCAACGGCAAAGGAAGACCTTTCTCTTTGTCTCTCTCTCACTGTCCCTCTGCCTGTCAAAAAAAAAAAAAAAAAAGGCCATTTAGTTAACTGGGATTTTTTTTAAAACCTTCAGATCATAGTTAGAGGTATAAATATTTTTGCTTGTTTTAAAATCTTGTTTTTCTCTATATATTTATATGCTAATATTCATTTGCCACTTGGGAATACTTTCTTGAAAAATGGCCTTGTATATTCAGACTACTAACTATCAAGGAAGCCTGCCTGTCTTTTTTAGCTGGCACTGCAAGACTTTCTTAGTCACTGCATGATATGAGACTCTGGGAATACAAAGCAGGAAAAGATCTATAGCCTATGGTAAAGTTAGACAAGTGAATAGCCTCAAGAATATGCAGCTAAATGTACAAGGCAATGTTTCCAACATTATTTCATAAGACTCCTATGAAGGGTAAGCACTATTTTACAGGTCAAATAAAGGTTAAGTAGATACTTTATGTAACATCCATTAGAGGAGTTTCAAAACATCATCCAATATCCTTATGGTTAAAATTTCAATAAACTACTTAATTTAAAGATGATGCTTAATTAAGCTGTTTCTGTGTTTATAAAATTGACATTCTGATTTTTTTATGTTCCAGCTTCCCAAATCTTACCCATCTGAAGTCTCTCGTTCTCCACAAGTTTCAGGGAGTAAGACAACCTTTTCTTCATCTCAACTTCCATTTGACAATTGATTTTTTTTTTTTTTTGACAGGAAGAGTGGACAGTGAGAGAGAGAGAGACAGAGAAAGGTCTTCCTTTGCCATTGGTTCACCCTCCAATGGCCGCCGCGGCCGGCGCGCTGCAGCCGGCACACCGCGCTGATCCGAAGCCAGGAGCCAGGTACTTCTCCTGGTCTCCCATGGGGTGCAGGGCCCAAAGACTTGGGCCATCCTCCACTGCACTCCCTGGCCACAGCAGAGAGCTGGCCTGGAAGAGGGGCAACCGGGTCAGAATCCGGTGCCCCGACCGGGACTAGAACCTGGTGTGCTGGCGCCACAAGGCAGAGGATTAGCCTACTAAGCCACGGTGCCGGCTGACAATTGATTTTATTCTGCCATCAATTGTTCTTTAAAATTCTTATTGTGCAGATCTCACAACATTTTCACCTATGTCAGAGATCATGTGCTTACAACATACCCACAAAATAACCCAACTGTATTTTAAAACAATTATGAACTTAATACTTATTCTCTTCAAAGTAGTCACTTTGAGATTAGACTCTATTCAGTAACACTGCTGTTTTTAATACTACGATACCTGTAGTTCAGTCTTCTTTACAGCCTCAGGCACAATGAATTTTTTTTCTTTGAACATTAAATTGATTTTGTAAACCAATCAGTAGTTATTTGCCACCAAATTTAATACTAAGGTAAATTACTAACAAGGGCAGTATTCAGATTATTTTATAGTGTAAGTAGTTCTGAATATAATACCTATAAAAGCAGCTCCCCAAATATATTAAGTGCAATAACTTTCAGTCCTTTGTTATTTTGACATCGTTATAGACTGCACTTATTTTTAGGGATCATTTTATGAATGTTTGTTTGTAGTCTCATGTCTGCACCCCCCTCAACCAACACTTCTCCCCAGCATTATGTAAAATGATGATATATATTGGGCACTCAACCAATGGTTCGCACTCTGGACTCTGAACCAATGTCTATAATACTGAAACCTCTCTGCCCTTTTTGTAGTAGGCAACTGACAATCAGAAGGAAAAGTAATAAAAACCACCTGGGTATTCCTACAAACTCAGTGTCCCTGAATTGAAATTAGTGGTTCAGTTTCCATTAAAAATTGCTTTTTTGTTTGTTTGTTTCTTTTCTTCCACTTTTAGAATCAAAGTCCCTCATTCTGATACCTTGTTTAAAAAAATCTTGGCATATCTGTTTTTCAAATTTCAGGGGGAAAAAAGATAGAGTTGTTAAACCCCCACGGCTCAGATTCTTTTGGCTTTACCTCCTGCAAGCCCTGCTATGTTTGGCGAAGTGACAAAAAATTAGCTGTCTCACTAAGGGCCTGCAGGGGAGGGAAAGCCTATTCTGGCAGTAGGTCTGAGGCTGACTCTGCTAAGGACTTCCATTATTTTGACATGTGAGGCTTGCTAGACTGACAAGAACAGGCACGGAAGCAGGAAGAGAGAGAGGAGATTTAAGCTCACTGACCTTGGTTGAAAGCTCTGCTTCCAGTTGTCCCTAGCTTCTGCAATTTGGCAATCTTTTCCACTTTTGCCCTGAAGATTCCTGTGGGAACGGTGGAGTTCCTGGACCAAAGCCCTACCAATGGGAAAGGATCTTACAGGCTCAAATATACAGAGAGGGATAAGAGAAAGGAAAAATAAGTGGAGAAAAATTAAAAGAAGCAAATTTAAAAGGAAGAAATATAGAGGGGAGAGAACACACACACAGAAAAATTAAAAGAGGGATGCCTATCTGAAAGAATGCAAAAACAAAAGAGAAATTAAAATAAAAGAAAGGTGATGGAAGATGTAACAAGACCCCCTTTTTGTGTGATATATTGATAATTAACAGTGAGAACTGAAAATTCCTGATCATATTGCCTGCTAAGTACACAATATTAGGGAAATTACTGAAGAAATGTTGTCTCCAAGGGGTCGGCACTGTGGCATAGTAGGTTAAACCTCCACCTACAGCACCGGCATCCCATATGGCTGTCAGTTTGAGTCCCAGTTACTCTACTTTTGATCAAGCTCTCTGTTAATGGCCTGGGAAAGCAGTGGAAGATGGCTGAAGTGCGTGGGTCTCTGTACCAACATGAGAGACCTGGAAGAAGCACCTGGCTTCGGATTGGCCTAGCTCTGGCCATTGCAGTCTTTTGAGGAAGTGAACCAGTGGATAGAAGACCTCTCTCTCTGTCTCTCCCTCTCTCTGGCTATAACTCTGCATCTCAAATAAATAAATAAATCTTTAAAATTTAAGGAAATGTTGCCTCACTAAATTTTATTATAATATTAAAATTTATTATAATATTAAAATTTTATTATAATATTGAATTTTATTATAATATTAAAATGTATTATAATATTAAAATTTTCTAAAAGTGCTATATGAAATTCCGTTAATAGAGTGACGTAGCTAGACATTTTGCCTGAGTTAACCCTGTCATTAAAACCTATAATTAGGGGCTGCTGTTGTGGCACACTGAGTTCAGCTGCTGCCTGCGACACCAACATCTCATATGAGTGCCAGTTTCAGTCCCTGCTGCTCCACATCTGATCCAGCTCCTTGCTTATGTGCCTGGGAAAGTAGCAGAGGATGGCCCAAGTGCTTGGGCCCTGGATCCATATGAGAGACGTAGAAGTTCCTCGCTCCTGGCTTCAGCTTGGCCCATCCCTGGCCATTGTGTCCATTAGAGGAGTGAACAAACAAATGGAAGATCTCAATCTCTCTCTCTCTCTCTCTCTCTCTCTCTCTCTCTCTGTGTGTGTGTATGTGTCTATCTCTTCCTCTCTCTCTCTGTAACTCTGCCTTTCAAACAAATAAGTAAATACTTTAAAAAAATTTACAATTAACTTTCCTTATTCCCAAAATTTTGTGACATGTTCTAATTCTGATTCTACCACTTAATATTACCCATTTCATATGCTTATTATATATTTTTCTTTTAGTTTTATATCTGATCTCACTATTGTGCTCCTCACCTGTTACAGTTTATCCTGCTTACCACTTGACAGAATGATATTGCTGAAATATTTCCTTAATCTATGAAACCTTTATTCAAAATCCTTTAATGCGGCTCCACTGCCTATTAAATGAAATCCAAATTCCCAACTTACCATTCAAGGTCTTCTAGGACTTAATCCCAATATACTTTATAGTCTTATCCACCCTTCTTTCTCTCCTGAGCACTCTGGAAGAGTTTTTATGAATATCTTCTATTTCAACCCAAATATCAGGGTCATATCACATTTTTGTCAATAAAGAGTACTACTTGCTCACTAAAATTTAAAAAAAAATACAGCTTTGAAAGTGGAAGAGAATGAAACATGATGCTTAAGTGTACAGGTACAGAATAAGAGAGAGAGACATACTGAATGCTGGTCAGAAACAAGAGCAGCCACCACCAGAGGAAAAGTACATAAAAGATTCAGAGAGGCACTGGCTCTATGGGAAGAACAGGCGTTATTCATTCCTTCAACAAGTGTGTATTGAGCATAGTTGTTAGATACATAAGGCTACAAAGATGAAAAGCGAATTATTGTCTATAAGAAATATAGAAATTGGGGTCAGCATTGTGGCAAGCAGGTTAAGGCATTGCCTGAGATGTTGGCATCCCATATGGGGACTGCTTGGCTTCCAATCCAACTCCCTGTTAATGTGCCTGGGAAAACAGCAGAATGGCCTGGTACTTGGACCCTTGACACTCACCTGGGAGTCATGGATGAAACTCTTGGCTTCATCTTGGTCTAGCCCTAGCCTTTGTGGCCACTTGAGGAGTGAACCAGCAGATGGAAGCTCTCTCCCGTTATCTCTCTTCTTCTTCTCTCTCTGCCTTCTGCAACTCTGCCTTTTGAATAAATAAATAAATCTTAATCAAAAATGAAATATAGAAGTCAATGTTTGGGAAAATTAAAGTGATATAGAATAACTAGAATATGACAGCCAAGGGAAGTTGTAGAGAAAAATCTAGACTGAAATTGCCTACACAAAGCATACTATTCACAGCTTATCCAATAGATATTGAGGAACACTTAAAATTTGGACAGAATATTAATATCAGATTTTCATAGTAGAAATTTAATTCTGGTGGGAAGTGGAAATAAAGAAGATGAGGACAGTTCAGTAAAGAAATAAAACAATAGTATAGGGATGTTCAGAATCTGAACTAAGAAGGGCACTATGTAATGATTAAGGGATCGATTCCACAGGAAGATGTGACTACAGTGAATGTATACACACCCAATGTCAAGGCTCTTGACTATTTAAAACTAATATTAATGAATCCAAAGGGAGGCATAGACTCTAATACAATTGTAATGGGAGACTTCAAAACCCTATTTTGATCAATGGAAAGATCAAAGATACAGAAAATCATCAAAGAAACAACAGAGCTTATCTACATTATGGACCAAATGGACTAATTGATATCTACAGAACATTTCATCCCATAACTGCAGAATACACATTATTTTTTGTCTGTGCATGAAACTTTCTCTAGGATAGCCCATGTGCTAGGCCATAAAGAAAGTGTCAACAAATTTTCAAAAAAATTGAAATCATACCATGTATCTTTTCTGACCACAATGGAATGAAGCTGAAAATTAACAACTTAAGAAACTCTTGAAAACATGCAAACACATGGGGGCTGAACAAGATTCTCCTGACTGAACAGTGAGTCATACAATAAATCGAAAGGGAAATCCAAAAATTCCTGGAATGGAAGATGACAACACAACATATTCAAAACTTATGTGACACAGCAAAAGTTTATAGCACTTAGTGCCTACATCAAGAAACTGCAAAGGCATAAAATAAATGACCTATGAATGCATCTCAAGGACTTAGAAAGACAAGAAAAAAACCCAACCCTAAATTAGTAGGAAAAGAAATAATTAAAATTAGAGACTAAATAAATAAAATTAAAACCCCCAAAAAGCAGATACAAATTATTGAAGTGAATAATTGTTCTTTTTTTAAAACAAAGGGGTGGTGGCACAGTGGGTTAAAACCCTGGCCTGCAGCATTGGCATCCCATATGGGTGCCAGTTCAAATCCTGGCTGTTCTACTTCTGATCCAGCTCCCTGCTAATACTCCTGGGAAAGCAGTGGAAGACGGCACAAGTGCTTGGACCTCTGCATGGGAGACTTGGAAGAAGCTCCTGGCTCCTGGCTTCAGATTGGATCAGTTTCAGCCATAGTGGCCATTTGGGAAGTGAACCAGCGGAAGGAAGACCTATCCTCCCCCCCACCTCTCTCAGTAACTCTTTCAAATGAATAAAATAATCACTAAAAATATTACAAAATGTAAACCATTGGCCTAACTAACCCAAAAAAACAGGGGTGGGGGGGGAGAAGACCCATATTAATAAAATCAGAGAAGAAAAAGGAGATGTTACAATGGATACCACAGAAATAAAAAGAATCATCAAGATTTGCTACAAACAGCTATAGGCCATCAAATTGGAAAACACAGAAGAAATAGATAATTTCTGGACACATACAATCTACCAAAATTGGATCATGAAGATATAGAAAACCTAAATAGACCACAGTTATTGAATCAGTAATAAAGACCTTCCCAACAAATAAAAGCCCAGAACAGGATGGCTTCTCTCTGCTGAATTCTACCAAACGTTTAAGGAAAAATTCTAATTCTTCTCAAATAATTCAACACAATTGAAATAGAGGAAATATTCTTTTTTTTTTTTTTTTGACAGGCAGAGTGGACAGTGAGAGAGAGAGAGACAGAGAGAAAGGTCTTCCTTTGCCGTTGGTTCACCCTCCAATGGCCGCTGCAGCCGGCACGCTGCGGCCGGCACACCGTGCTGATCCGATGGCAGGAGCCAGGTACTTCTCCTGGTCTCCCATGGGGTGCAGGGCCCAAGCACTTGGGCCATCCTCCACTGTACTCCCGGGCCACAGCAGAGAGCTGGCCTGGAAGAGGGGCAACCAGGACAGAATCCGGTGCCCCGACCAGGACTAGAACCCGGTGTGCCGGCGCCGCAAGGTGGAGGATTAGCCTAGTGAGCTGCCCAAATGCTTTCTATGAGGCCAGCACACCCTAATTCCAAAACCAGAAAAAGATATAACAAAGAGAACTATCAACCAATGCTCTGAAAAACATATAAGCAAAAAACCTCAATAAAATACTAGCTAATAGACTCCAACAACACATCAGAAAGATCATTTACCCAAAGCAAGTGGGATTTATACTTGATATGAAGGGATAGCTCAAATACTCAAATCAATAAATGTGATATATCACATTAATAAATTTAAAATTAAAAACCAGTTGATATCTCAATAGATGCAGAAGAAGCATTTGACAAAATACAACATTCTTTTTTTTTTTTTTTTTTTTTTTTTTGACAGGCAGAGTGGACAGTGAGAGAGAGAGACAGAGAGAAAGGTCTTCCCTTTGCCCGTTGGTTCACCCTCCAATGGCCGCCGCGGGCCGCGCGCACCGCGCTGATCCGATGGCAGGAGCCAGGATCCAGGTGCTTTTCCTGGTCTCCCATGGGGTGCAGGGCCCAAGCACCTGGGCCATCCTCCACTGCACTCCCTGGCCATAGCAGAGAGCTGGCCTGGAAGAGGGGCAACCGGGACAGAATCCGGCGCCCGGACCGGGACTAGAACCCGGTGTGCCGGCGCCGCAAGGTGGAGGATTAGCCTATTGAGCCACGGCGCCGGCTACAACATTCTTTTATAATAAAAAACAAAAATATTTGGCCAATTGGGTATAGAAGAACATTCCTCAAGACAATCAAGGCAATTTATGACAACCCAGAGCCAGCAACATATTGAATAGGGAAAAATTGGAAGCGTTTCTACTAAGATCCAGAGCAAGACAAGGATGCCCACATTCACACTGCTAGTCAATAGAGTTCTGTAAGTCTTAGCCAAAGCCAATTGGCAAGACAAAGGAATCAAAGGGATACAAATTGGAAAGGAAGAAATCAAATTATCCATTTGCAGATGACATATAGGGGAACCAAAAGACTCCATTAAGAGACTATTGTAACTCATAAGAGAGTTTGGTAAAGTTGTAAGATATAAAATCAACACACAAAATTCAATAGCCTTTCTATACATAATGATCTGGCTGAGAAAGAACTTGTAAGATCAGTCCCATTCACAATAGTTACAAAAAATATTTCAATACCTTGGAATAAATTTAACCAAAAATGTGAAGGTCTTTACAATAAAAATTGAAGAACATTAATGAAATAGAACATACACATAAAAAAGGAAGAATCTTCTGCATTCATGGATTGAAAGAATTTATATCAAAATGTCCATACTACCCACAGTAGTTTACAGATTCAATGTGATCCCAAACAAAATGTCAATGATATTCTTCTCAGATATATAAAGAACAATTCTAAAATTCCCATGGAAACGCAAGAGATCCCAAACAGCTAAATCAATGCTAACCAACAGCAACAACAACAAAAATCAAGAAAAAAAAAAAAAAGCAGGAAGCATCATAGTACTAAATTTCAAGACAACCTGAAATTGGTACAAAAATAGATGTGTAGACCAATGGGACAGAATAGGAACCCCAGAAATTAATCCATGCATGTATCACCAACTTATTTTTGACAAAGGAGCTAAAATCAATCCCTAGAAAAAGAATAATCTTCTCAAGAAATGGTGCTGGGAAAATTGGATCTACATATGCAGAAACATGAAACAAGAACCCTACCTCACACCTCATACAAAAATCAACTCAAAATGGATCAAGGATATAAATCTATGAACTGATAACTTCAACTTCCTAGAGGAAAACATCAGGGAACCTCTTAAAGATATTGGCATAGGCAAAGACTTCTTTAAAAACACCAAAAAATAGATAAGTGGGAAGCTAAGAAGCTTCTGAACTGCAAAGGAAATGCTCAACAAGTTGAAGGGACAACCAACAGAATGGGAGAAAATATTTGCAGGGTATAAAACAAATAAAGGCATATTGAAGCTCTATAAAGAGCTCAAGAAACTCAACAACAACAAAACAAATAATCCAGTTAAGTAATGGGCAGAGGACTTGATCTGGAATTTTTCAATGGATGAAATGCAAATGGCCAATAGACACATGAAAAAAATACTCTGTATCACTAATCATCAAGGAAATGCAAATTTAAAACCACAATGAAATTTCATCTCACCCCAGTTAGCATGGCTATCATCTAAAAATCAAATAACAGTAAGTTCTGGTGAGGATTTGGGGGAAACATACCCTAATACACTGTTGGTCGGAATGTAAACCAATACAACCATTATAGAAGACAGTATGAAGATTTCTCAGCAGTCTGAACATATATCTAACATATGACCCAGTCATCCCACTCCTGGGAATTTACTCAAATGAAATGAAATCAGCATATGAAAGAGCTATTTGTATCCCCATGTTTATTGCAGATCAATTCACAATAGCTAAGAGATGGAATAACCCAGATGTCCATCAACTGATGAATGGATAAAAAAATGTGATATATATATACACTATGTAATACTACACAGTCAATGAAATCCTGTCTTTACAACAAAATGGATCCAGCTGGAAACCATTGTGCTCAGTGAAGTGAACCAAAATTATATAGAGAGAATATGTTTCAGGAAAGAAAATTAATTTTCAATACATTATATCTGCACGCTTTGTGACAACTAAGTAGAAAGGGTTTATAATGAGTTCTATCCTGAAGGAAGTCTAGAAACTCCCTACATGATATGCAAAGGGGATAGGAATTGAAGAAAACCAGAAAATGAAGATACTAAGTTGAAAACAGGAATAAAGGGGCGGAGCCAAGATGGCAGAATAGTGAGGGCGCGCACCGACAGTCCGGGAAAAGA